AAAAGACCAAGTTGAAGGGCTGGGGAGATGGCTCAGTAGAATAAGCCCTTCCCTGGCAAGCACAAGGGCCTGAGTTCAGTCCCCGGTTCTGCAAAAAAAAAAAAGACCAAGTTGATATTTTTTAAATTCTGTGTCTGCTTTGCACTATTCAGTTAAGATTCCAAATGGGTTATTTGTGTACCCAGTTACATAGTACACTAGAACAACAAAGGTTTCTTCCAGACCTTAGGTCCAAAATATTCCTGGGTTCCATAAAATTTCTAACTGTATTGTCAAGGGCTGTGCAGCAACATTTTGGTTACCAGTGAACCGTTGACACACCAGTGTTACCAGAAGGATATAATGGAGTTTGAAAGTTCCTGCTGCCTGCTGATGCCCTGGCCGTCCTAGCATTGTGGTGCAACACATCACTTCCATTTTGGGTGATCCAGGTGTAAACAGATCTGCTGCACCGCAGTAGAAAAGCATAGCATATACAATATAATAAGCAACTATGTTATTGGCTTAAATATTTAAATACTATATTGCTTATTATTAGGGTTTACTTCTTCTACATATCTTTTTAACTATAAAACCACTACAGGCAGGCCGTTCAGGTGGAATCCCGGAAGAGGCCTTGTCCTCAAAATCACTGCCCTTGAAGACCTTCTGATGGGATGAGGTTTGCAGTGGCCGACAGTGACACTGATGATAGTCACCTTATGTGGCTACAGACTCCTGTGTGTGTATGCTTTCATTTTTAACAAGGACTTGCAGACATACTGAAAAAGATTTTAGGGGAAAAAACTTACAGATCAAGTATATAAAGCCAGGATATTTTTGTACAATGTTCAGAATTTTTTTTTTTTTTTTTAATTTTGAAGAAAACAAAACAGGGCTGGCCAGATAACACAGTGACTAAAGTGCCTGCTTAGACAGAGCGCGGGGACCAGGGTTCGATCCCTAGTACCACAAGCCATGCCAGCCCCACCCCCAGGGCACACTGAGATGCTGACTGAGACTGGGTGTGGCGGGGCATGCCTGTAATCCCAGCGCTTGGGAGGCTGAAAACAGGAGGATCGCTATGAGTCCAGTCTACGTAATCAGACCCTGTAGACCCTGTACTAAATTCATAAAAAAAATAAAGAGAACAAAGCAATAAAAACGATACAGAATTTCAAAACAAGATGATAGATTAATGTGGTCATTATATTGCAGTTGTTGTCTTCAATGTCGTTGCTCAGGGGCCAGGGATATAGCTCAGCAGCACAGCGTTTACCTGGCGAGCTCAAGGTCCTGAGTTTGATTCCCAGTAGCCACCCCCCCCAAAAAATACAAAATAGTTGCTCAGATTGTTCAGTATGTTTTTGTTTTAAACTCTTATTACAAAAGAGCATTTAAAAACATTAGTTTATAAGGTAAAAATGATACAGTAAGCTAAGATTAATTTATTGAAAAAAGAATAGTTTTAATAAACATAGTCTATCTTCCTCACACATACCGTGTTTGTCAGGCCCACAGAGGCAGGCGCGATGCCCTGGCCTTCTGCGTACACTTACCCAGAGCCACTTCCAGGCCTGCAGCTCCTTTCATGGAAGTTCCCTACATAGATGTATTGTGTATGTAAATTGTAGATGCCATCATTATGGTTGTCCAGTATTCAGTGTAGTAACGGGCCTTGCAGGTTCGCAGCCTAGGAGGACAGTAGGTGACACCACCTAGGTTTGTGGGAGTGCTTCAGTAGTATTCTCTCAGTGACCAGTTCCTTAGAATGCATCCCATCATTATATTCCCAAACTTTTAAGGAGAATATTAATAGTTTGGAGGATTCAAAGCTTCTGACATTTGATAGAATTATATCAATGCAGCATAAAAAAGTGGATTAGCTAATCAGAAGTGCTAATTGATTATTGATCACACTTAATTTTATTTTCTAAATTTATTATTAAAATATTTATCATTTAATTTATTTCATCCTAATTTTAATCTTTTGTGTAGAATTGGTTGCCAATACCAGTTATGATGTTTTCAACAAGATGCTAGAC